TTATAATATTCTAACTTTGTCTTCATTAAAAGTTTCAAAAATTTTGATTACAAAGCGAACATTTTAAAATCTGGGAGTATACGGATACTCGTATACGCACCCACTCCCCCTCCCCCTCCCCCCGTTTCGAAAGGGGGATAGATGAAATCGTCTTTAGGCGAGCTGCCTACGTATTCCTTTTGGAAATCAAGCAATCTCGTAGTTCTAATTGTTGGTGCGAGTGTGCTTACTCGGCTGTCGCAGACTTCTCGATCACTTTAGTCGTTGGATCGTCGTCTTGGTCCGGGTTTTTCTCCTTTGGTTGGGTAGAAGCGATGGGTTTGGAAGCTTGTTGCTTCTTGACTGTTGCTAGTTTTGGGTCATTTCCGCGGGCGGCGGCGTGAGCTTCGCCCGTTTTGGTTTCACGATTGCGACCGCCAATTGCCTTAGCTTATGTTCAGCTAAAAAGCAAGATCGCGATTGTCTCTAAATCCCCAAATTGCCGCAACTCCCGTAGGGATCGGAAACTTGATGCCTAAGTGGTACGTTGATAGAGTTTATCCAAGGCGTGCCCATGATCACGTTGTAGATAGCGAAATTGACGATTTTCGTCACTTCTTTTGCGGCGACAGGAAGTCGGATAGATCCTAGAGTCATAGCCGTTTCGCCGGAGAAACTTGTCAACGGCTTTGGTATTGGCTTGATCTCAGATAAATCGATTCCCATGCGCGCCAACGTGTTTCGGAAGATTACATTGACGGTGCTTCCGGTGTCGACCAGGATTTGAGCGACTTCTAGGTCGCTTATGACTAAGTCAATGACGAGAGGATCAGCGTGTGGTTGATCGATTCCGTCGGTTTCTGTGTCATCGAAAGAGATCACTACCTTTGGAGTGTTATCCGACGGTACATTCCAATTCGAACCCGTTTTGGCTTTTCGTTGGTAGGACTTAATAGATGAGATGGTATCACTTGTGGGAACCGAAATACACACTGTCGATTTTCCGTCAAATATGGAAACTTAGAGAAAAACCCTAATTTTCCCGAGGTCCTGGATCTCTGCGGAAATCACTAAAACAAACAAAATTAACAGAATATGGATGAACAACGAAGAACAGAAAATAAATAATTTGTGTGAAAGCTTTTATTAAGTAAGAGATCGGCAACTGTTACAAAAGAGGATTGAAGAACTTAGACGTCAAAACGTTCTAAGGATCTGGATTGCTAGTCTAAACGCTAAGTCCTAAATTCCTAAGCTAACAGCCGCCTTTTTAGGTCTGATTTTCGTCCCCTTGCTTTTGCCCTATGCCTCTGGCTTATATACTCCTCTCCCAGACGGTTCAGTCTTTCCATTTTGCCCGGATTCGAGTTTATCGGGAATCTTCCATTTATCTTGATCTTTCCTTTTTTTCCCGCGGAAATCTTTTATTTATCTTCAAACTTGTCATTTATCAATACTTGACATTTATCTTTCTTCTGCGAGTAAACCATCAAGACGTTATCGTATCTTCGGTTTAGATTTCGTTAAGATTGCGAGATAGACTTTTATCGCGTTTTAAGACCTTTCGGGTCGTTTTACGATAAATTCGTTTTATGACTTTATACGAGATCGTTTCCTGATCCGATGCCGTTTTTAGTAAATTCCCCGAGTTAGTTGTAAACTTTAGCTACGTTCGTTTCTTGGTTAATCGTTGCCGTTTTTTTACAATTTTCTCGACGTTTCTATTAAAAACGCGTTTTTATGATTTTAACAAAAAATCTCAACTAAATCGTATAGTTTAGGAAATGTTCGGTGTCTCGTCTAACCGTTGCCGTTTTATACAATTTCCTTGAGTTCTTTTCGAGAAAACAAAGTTTTACGGTTTTTACCGTAAAACTCAATGATAAGTCGGATTGAGACGAAACGGGAGACATTTCGAACGTGGTTCGGAACACAACCGTGTCGAAGGATGTAAGCACTGAATCGAGGATGCGGGAGTCGAGGCTCGAACCGAGCCGGACCGGTCCAGCTCGCCGGTCGGCGAACTGTCCTGGAAGCTTCTAATTCGCCCAACGGCGAACTAAGCCAGCTCGCTTAGTTCGTCGTTGGGCGAACTAGTCGGGACGAGGCTAGTTCGCCCAACGGCGAACTAGTCGGGACGAGACTAGTTCGCCCAACGCCGAACTAAGCCGGCTTGGCTTAGGTCGCATTTTACGACGATTTCGGTTTTTCGCGGTTTTGTGCTTAACTCGGACGATCGTGTAATCGACGTTTGTTTCGTTCTTCCGAGATAACGATCTTCCGAGTTTTCCGCGGATTTCCCTTGTTCGGAAATCTCTTTTGGATTTATAGAACGATTCTTCGAGTTTTATAAAACGATTCTTCGAGTTTTATAAAATGATTTCTCAAGTTTTATAAAATGATTCTTCTAGTTTTATAAAACGATTCTTCGAGTTTTATAAAACGATTTCTCGAGTTTTATAAATGATTATTGCGGAAAGCAATGATTCCATCTTTTACAGAAGTTATCGTAGACGTTGATTTCGAGATTACGGTTTTTGACACCAACATCGCTGTAGTACTGCGATTCACCGATGATCATAATGATTTTTCGGCGGTTAGCGTCGATACCTTTCTCGTCTTGTCTTCGTCCGCGTTTCTCGCCTGACTGGTTCCCTTGAGGCGGAGTTTCCGCTGGCGAGTTTTTGTCGTTTTTTGGGGGGCGATCTGAATCGCGGATGAGGTCCTTGACGCTGGATATCTCGGAGAGTTCTCCCGTGAGCAATTTTGCGGCAAGTCTGGCGTCGAGGACTTTGCAGTTCACGGTGGAGTGCCCGCGAGTCTGGTGGAGACCGCAGAAGGAATTTTCATCGTAATTCGGATTCCTTGACCACGTGTTCCCCGTAGTTCACCCTTGTTCCTGTCCGGAATTGATGGCGTAATTGTGCACTTCTTGGAGATCCTACCCCCTCGTGATGGACGTATTTGTCGTTACGAGGGTTTTTCTTTTTCGGCTTCTGCTTGGACGTGATGTCCTTTGCAGATGTTTTTGCCAGCTTATGCTTTTCAGACAGGATTTTAGTCTCCTCTTCGATGGTTATGTAATCGGTAGCTTTGTGGAGCGCGTCCTGGGTCGTCCGCGGTTTCTCGAGTGTTATCCACTTTCGAAACTTTGACTTGAACCAGAGCGATTTTCTGAGTGCATCGATGGCGACCATGTCGCTTATTCCGCTAACCCTAGCCATGACGAGTTTGAACCTCCTCATGAAGTCTCGAATGGATTCGTCTTCCTTCTGCGATAAGCTCCAGAGATCAGCGTCGGAAGTTTCCCGATTGACAAACATCGAGTACTGCTTCAAGAATTCAGAAGCAAGCTGGCAGAAACTGCCGAATTTCGCCTAAGCTTGGCGAACCACTCGAGCGCTGCTCCTTCTAGGTTTTCGACGAAAAGACGGCAGTAGCCCGCGTCTTTTTCGTGATCCTTGAGCTTGGCTCGTCCCATGGTAATCTGGTAGGCCTGCAGGTGCGCTTTGGGATCAGCCGTGCCGTCGTAAGTTGGCACCTTGAACTTTCCTGGATCGGGTAGCTTGACCTCAGTGATGTGAGCCGTAAAAGGCATTTTCCGAGATTCGTATAGCAGCCGATCGATTTCGGGTGCGGCGCAGGTAACATGGTGAATTTGAGATTTCACCGTTTTTACCGCTGCGGCCGTTTTAGTGATGTAATCGCGGAGATCGCGAATCTCAGTTAGATCGCCAGCAGTTTTCCGACCTCGTCGGCGTTTGCTGCGAGTAACTGGAGTCCGTTCCCCGACTGTTTTTGCGCGTTGAGCATAGTAGAGATCCTCCTTGTCTTCAGTAAGAGAGCGCTCGGGAGAAGACTCTGTCTGAGGGCTGCGACTTTTCCTTCTCCTAGTATGGACGTCCGCGTCCTCATCCGACGAATCGGATTGGTCGCTTGTTTCCAGGTTGACCCTTTCGACGCCATCTTCCTTGGTCTCCTATATGTGAGAAGAAGATTTGTCCGTTTCGTTTAGCTTTGCGTCAGGGATATCTTTTTTGGAGTCTTTCTCCGGAAGATTTCCCTGCTCGGTTCTGGGGTGATCCATAGGAGTCGTAAAATCGAGCCTCCTTCCGCGGATTTTAGTGGTTCCGCGGGGGTGAATTATTTTTGTTTTTGCTGTTAGGGTTATGACCTGTTTTGCGAGTGAACCAATGAGCTTTTCTTGCTCTTCCAATTTTTTGTTAAAGTCGGAGAGCATCTTATCGATGGTCTCGGCGTTAGCATTAGTGGCAGCGTTAGCCGCAAACACATCCTGTGGTGGTGTGTTGTCAACGTTGTCGCTTTCGTCGTGAGTTTGTTGGTCACCAGAAATCGTTTCTCGATTGAGCGTGCTGCGGTTTTAGTGTAAGATAGATCCGACCCCCCCCCCCTCCTTCTAGCGCCAAACTGTGGGAACCGAAATTCAACCATGTCGATTTTACGTAAATTTTGCGTCAAGAACGCGGGAGATCGAGGCTCGGGATGGTCAGCTCGACGTACGGCGAGCTGCTTTGAGGCGACCAGCTTGCCGTACTGGTTCAGCTCGCCGTACGGCGAGCTAGTCCGGGACCGACCAGTTCTCCGTACGGCGAGCTGAACCGGCTGGTTTGGCTCGTCGTACGTTGAACTTGGTTCGGTCGAACCTGCTCGCGGTTTACGGTGGATGCGGTTTTTTGCGGTTTTTCGCTTAACTTGGGAAATCGTGTAATCGGCGATTGTTTCGTTCGTTCTTCTGAGATGACGATTTCCAAGTTTTCCGTGGATTTCCTTTGTTCGGAAAGTCCTTAAAATTTTATAAAACAACTTCTCGTGTTTTATAAAACGTATTTTTATTTTTGCGGAAAGTTTTGGTCATTGATTCCATCGTACCGATTTTGACCCCAACTAACATGTTGTATTAAGGCCCAATATATGTTGGAATTTGTGATTTTGGACCAAAAGATCTTACTGTCAGTCACAACTAAAATCTAATCTTAAAAAGAGACAAAAGATTTTTGTACCATTTGCTCAATAAATATATAAATATAAAAATAAAATATAAAAATAAAATAGTAAATTTGCTTAGTTGTCATATTCTCCATAAGTTTAGGTAATTTTGTTTATTTATCATATTTATCTATAATTTATTTATAAATAAAACGAATTTATATGAATATATCATATTTTAGAAAATAAGATAATTCTTGTGAATTATGTTGTTATCTAGAAATATAATATATATATATATAATTTAAATTTTAAATTAAGATACAAAAATTATTATATTTATTATATAACTAAAACGAATTTATATTAATAATTTTATATTTTTATAAAATAAGATAATTCTTATGTATTATGTTTTTGTGGGAACCGAAATTCACCTACTGTCAAGATATCGTAAATAAGAGAACTTTGAGTAAACCCTAAGTTCCCAGAGGATCCGGGTATCTGCGGAACCGCACACAAGCAATCAAGAATGCGATTAATATGAGTAAGTAAAAAGAGATGTAAAGAAAAACGAGATTGAGAGCAAAAGGATTCTTATTCTGAATTCGCGTAAGATTGGTACAACAAGATTCAGCCTTAGCTGCGTGAGCCGTCGGCGAGATTCCTAACCCTATCAATCTAAGACTAAACCCTAGTTGAGACGCAGCTCAGTAACGAAAACGGAAATATTCCCTTTAATGAAACCTATTTTTGTGAGTTTTAAGTCTTGGGTGTTAGTTTGGAGACAAAAACTTGAATTCGTGCTCTTTTGGCTTTTTTCTTTATCATATTATATTTTTAGAAAATAAATAACTTATGCATTATATTGTTATCTTGAAAATATGTTTTTCTATTATAAAATTTAAAATTAATATATAAAAAATTATAATCAAATATAAATTAAATATTATAATTAAATATAAATCAAGCAAAGTAATAATAGAAATATATTCTTTTAAATATTTTCAATATTTAAGTTTTGTTATTGATATCTATTGATGTTTCATTTGTACTTTTTGAAAACATAAATATTAATTTATTATGTTGATTTTTAAATTAACAAAACATCAGCTAATAAATATTCATAAGAGATTTATGTCCGCAAGTGTGGGCAAAACAGGTAATAAGTAATAAAATTCATATTGTTTGAGTTAACTTCCCATTGTTAGGTCAAGATAACCGGTGAAATACATAAAAATTACGAAAATTCTAAATAGAAAGGTTTGCGTGTAGCTGAATTTGCGTCAAACTTGGAACGTAATTAAGCAAAAAAGGACTAAGCTCGGGTCCAAGAGCCACTTCTATAACTTCATTGTCCTCTCCAACGATGTATCCCATGTGTTGGCCTTTTTCTTCCACGTATGCAGTATACACTAGGACTTTCTTCTCTTCATCGACCAAGAAATTTACGCAATCTAAAGTTTGAAGCCCAGGCTTTAAATCAACTGCTAAGACCTTGATCCACGAGACCACTTTGGTCTCACCAATCATTTTTGTCACCCAAATCTCTGTCTTCGATGAAACTTCGTGTTGCAATAACACGGAAAGTTTCTCTTCTCCAACAACGGATAGAGACATTGTTTGATACTCTACATACTGATACGGGAGAGTAAGCCGACCAAATGTTTCAGTGATATAATCAAAAAAGACTAAGAATATGCCGAGCTGTATTGTTTTTTCATCTGATGCAAACCAATAAGTCTTTCCCTTCAAAGACACGTTCCTACAGAACTCAAAATTGCAGTCCAAAGTGACATCGAGAGTCCTGCATGAATTAGAGCTAACCTCATAGATATCGAATTCGTAGTTTTTGTCACAACCCGTGTGGCTCAATATTTTGTAGCAACTATCGTTGGATTTTTTGTTTTTGTAGGATCCAAGAGAATAGGTGTAGCCTAGCCTGCAAGGATATCTGGGTTGAATACATTTGGTTTGACCAGTACACGGGTTCCATACCACAAAACCAAAATCTTCATTAGAGATATTAGACACATCGTTAACGCAGACGCATAACAGTAAGCCGTCACTGTGACAGTATTCAGCGATACTGCGTTTATCAAAACTTGGATGAGGGTAGATTAGGTCAATTTCACCTGTGACCTCGACATGTGGAGATCTATGGAGATGGAATTTCACCGTGTAAACCCCATCCACATTCAACATAAGACTCAGGGACTGCTTTGCGGCTTTATCGAAGTGTTTTATTGTAAATCTCTTACTGTTGATTAAAAGGTTCCAACGTTTGCAAGTAGATTGTAAGCGTTTCAGAGATGTAGCCTCAATGCGACATAGTATCTCCTCTAACAAATCATCTGGTAGATCAGACATCATCATTGTGTTGTGTATCTTCTTCCTGGTGTAGCACAGCCCATACTTCTTGTCAACCGTATTCTCGATTTTCCTTAGTTTCGGGAAGGATCGTTCTCGTATTGGGAAGCCATGATCTCCTTCCAACCATATGTTATTGTATTGTTTATCATTAATCGCACCACACTCCTGAGAAACTTGCCCACACCCTGGGATATCTTTGGATTCTTTACCCCCACGTCGTGAAATTTTAACGCTGGATGTTACTTCTGACATTGTCAATCTCTGAGTTTTGGTGGCTATGCGTGTTTTTAAGGGTTTTCGTATATAGACAACAGATTATGTTTCTTGAGTCGTATATTTATCTCTTTAAAAAACTCTTACTTTTTTCCTATTTGGTTCTGTATTTCCTTTTTGATTTCTTTTTTCAATTTTCTTAACTCTTTCCTTTTAAAATACTAGAAGCGTAGATATTGACAAAACCGTTTGTTTGTTGTAGTTTAAAAATGTTATAGGTGACGGAGTCAAATTCTTTTGTTTAGTATAATCATAGTTGTTTATAATAGAAAATAAAAGTTTCATGAATTGTTGATGAAAGATAAACCCGTATGACGTGTGGTTGTAGTGGATAAAGTAGAAGTGTAGAATGAAACTTGAGCAAATTGGTTGTGAATATGAACTCATCTAATGGACATATAAGAGGGGGACATCAATGCAAAAGTTTACTGTCAACTCTCTTTTAAAATATTAAATCTGAGATACTGTTTTGTTGTGGCTGAAATAATAACCAGAAAAAAATGGAAAACACTGCAAAGTATAGAACAGAGAGAGCATATTTATTTGTGGAAACAGCAACCAGTTTATTGGATCCGCTAAAGCGTAGTCAATTCTTACATACGTAGTTTTTAGTTAAAACAGAAAAATCTCAGAAGCTAAAGATGTTTTGAAATTTAAAACACCACAAAAAAGGATAATCGCAATCGCACATATCTATCTTATTAAAGTAGAAGTACTTTAACCTTTTGTTTGGAAACATGGATAGCAGTATTTAAAATAAGTAAGTTTGGAAACATAGATATCAATATTTAATAAGATCTGGTATTTATTGTTACAAAGATTTGCTATCTATCTTATTAAATTAGAAGTACTTTAACCTTTTGTTTGGAAACATGGATAGCAGTATTTAAAATAAGTAAGTTTGGAAACATAGATATCAATATTTAATAAGATCTGGTATTTATTGTTACAAAGATTTGCTATTTATTTAAAATCGTAAATATAATTAATTTTAGTCACTAACAATATTCAAGAATATTCGTTTTTAACAATAATTCGGGTCGGATTACGGGTCGGATTTCCGGGTATTTTTATTTCGGTTTGAATTTCGGGTCGAATTTTTTGGTTCGAAAAATTGAACCGGACACAAATAAATTTATATAGATAAACAAACATTTTCTATGTTTCTAGAACTAAAAAAACTAAGAACGTAAAGAACCTAATAAAAGCTGAACCGAAAATCACAACCCAGTCCTATTATATTCAATATGATAGTTCACATACAACGTGGATCACAATATCTTAAACACAGTAATAATCGATGAGTTCTGAATTTATTACATTTTCTCAAATTAAGTTAAACCTGCGCCGGTGCGCGGGTCAAGATCTAGTTATGTATTAATTAGAAAGCTTCTGAATAATTTTATTTTCCGTCTTTAAGCTCTAATCTTCGATTTCTCAATTGCTGTAAACATGAAACATCGATTATACAATAGGAAATTCAGAATCAAACGCCAGACCAAACTCGTACGGGCTCGGGAATTAAATATGTTAACTTGTTGTGCTTACTCACAAAAGGAAGCAAATGATCATCATCAAGCAGCTAACAACCCACTAATCTCATCTTATCCCAGTTCTAATTGATCTCAAAAATAATATTCAGAAAGGTATTACAGATTTGAGTTATATTTTGGGAACCAAGTGAAACAAAAACTTATCTAATTCAATGGTAACACAGCCTTTCTTTATCTTCAGCTTCTTGCAGACATCAACAAACATCCTGTAGATTAGAATAATCAAGTTTCAGTTAGTAACTTTCTAATGCATGCGACATTTTTATTCTAAGAGCATAAAAGCCTCTAAGAAATTTTCAAAAATAAGACATAGAGGTACGCAAAGCAAAGTAAGATGATGTGCACAAAAGTGTTTACAGGGCGTCATGGAAAGCTCTCTCAAGTCCAGGTATGGCTTACGAATGTCATGTTCTCTGTTCAGAATGGTTTTCTTGGATTAGTACAAAGAAAATGTTAGCCTCTCCCTCACTGCTCCTAGATGATTCATCAAGCGCCAACAACTACAAAGAAACAAAAGAATACATAAGCATTTTACTATAACTGCAATTTGTGTTGAAGTTTGCGTTTGCAACAAATAAAATCTAAAAGTAAGAGAAAACAAACCGATTTGATGTCACCGTTCCAAACGCAGTGAGAAGCCAGGAACCCAATAACGGCTGGGACAATGTGATAAGCCTCAACGTTGTTACGTGAGGAGGAAGAAGAGAGAGTTGAGTAGAGAAGGAACGAGAGAAATTCAAGAAGGTTTGAATTCGCTGAAAGACTCTACTTCACGTGGAGGGATTGAAGATTAAAAGACTCGAGTTCGGACGGAGGGTTTCGTTTGCGAGAGAGACTTTGTTCCTTTTAGAGTGTTTGCCGTTATGGCAGTTAGAGTTGTTAAATAGCCGTTGTGGCTTTTACTTTCGAGTCAGCTTTGATTTTGGAGATAGAGACGAGAGTCTTGAGGAGTAATCGTCTGGGTTAGGCCAGCGATTCTCATTCATCTCCAGAAACAAAGTGTGTAATCGAGATTTGCTTATCAATAAAGTGTTTGTGATTGAGTTTTACAGAGAAATCTACATCTAAACTCTATCAATTGGTGCGGTGAGCCTTTCACGATGGCGTTGGTTGCCGAATCGGATGGGAGGATGGAGATCCTCGAGCGAGCGGCGATGGAAACGGAGAAGACGGTCAAGGTGATCTACGAGGGATGGAGGAAGCTTACAGACGCAAATACTAAATCCGATGGTCGATTCGATGCGGGGGAGTCGCGTTTGAGCTCCGTCGAGTTTCATTTGGAGAAGATTGCAACTGCAATCGATCGGATAGCATCCAATACATCATCAAAACCTCACGGCAAGGATATCGCGAGTTCCTCGGAACCTCTGGTACGTGATTCTATTAACGAATCGGACGATCATCCGTTAGGTTATCGGCGGAATACGGATATGTTTGAGAGTCGTGAGAGTTTGATGAAGAAGATTGAATTACCAACGTTTGATGGTTTGATGCCATATAGTTGGATTAGAAATGTGGAACGATACTTCAGAGCAGCTCGTTATAGTGATCAAGAGAAACTTGAGCTTGTGGCTTTGAGTTTGACTGGTGAAGTGTTGAACTGGTATTTGTGGGAGTCAGATGAGGAATCTTTTGAGAGCTGGTTTCACTTTAAACAAAGAATGCTTGAACGGTTTGCCAAATCTATTGACGATGAGCCACACAATCGTCTATGTGCCTTGACACAGACTGGATCAGTTCGCCAATACGTAAAAGAGTTTGAGGAATTGATCATTCAAGTCAAGGGCATTGATGAACCAAATTTGATCAGCAAGTTCTACACAGGCTCGAAACAAGAAATGAAAGAGGTCATCAAGATCAAAGAGCCTAAAGGACTGCGCAATCACATTGCTGTTGTAGTCAAAATGGAGAGTAGTACCTGTGAGGGATAAAACTCACTTCCAAGTTTTAGGTTAGGTTAGGATTGGGGAGAAGACAATCGTGGGCTGAATCCCTTAAGAACTTAGAGAATGAATACGTTGTTTATATTGATTTTTGGTAATAAAAGAGTTTACAAGGATGATCTTGATGATCTAATAGAAAGAACACTTGGTTGATCAAAAGTGATTAAGAACAATGTGTATTAGAGTCTTGTTATCTTGAATCAGTCGACCTCTTCCTCTGATCTCTTCTTTCCTTTATATAGCACTAGGTCACGTCCAACTTCTCCCGACGAAGCCTCCGTGATTATCTCCGTGAGTTGCGGGATTCACAACAGCTTCCGCTTGACTAAGTCTTGCACGTCTCTCCGGCTCTTGCTAGCTGTTTTGACAATGAGGTCCCGAGTCTTTTGGCTGTGACCTGTTTTTATCGATAGGTAACGATTTTATTTGACCCTCGCTTGAGGGGAGGCTTCCTAATGGGCTCGTAAAGCTTCGCAAACGGCTCTTACTATTTGGCCCATTAATTCAGCTAACGGGCTAAATTCGGGCCCAACAGTTGCCCCCAGCTTTCGAGATAAGATCTCTTTTCTCGGAAGCTATGACGTAGCCGCCTAACCTCTTGTTCCTCGAGATAATGATTACACTCGAAGATTCGC